CTTCAAGAAACTTATTACACGATTTTAAAGTATAAGAATGAAATAATATTTGTGCCAAGTTTTGTTTTCATAGGATTGTTTTTACGCCCCCGCTGTTTTGGTAGAGAAGCGTGAAATTCTGAACATTTTAAGCCGCGGAAACCGCCATTATATGCAAATGTCCAACTTTCTTAAATTTTGGCCGTAAAATAAATTGTTGGAACTTTAAACTATTTTTCCATGAATAAGTTCACCCAAAGGTATGTTTTGGCGAGATAAAAGAAAAATCGATTTTTCGTGAGTGTCTTCGTATTCTCGACACTCTCAGAAAATCACTCTTAATTATTTGTATTTTTCCTAGTTGGCATGCCCTCGATGTGGTTTTGGATTTGTGGATGGCTTCTAGTTGTTTTAACAGTGATTGGAAATGGACTGGTAATTTACCTGGTCGCCACCAGGTCTCGCCTTCACACCACAGCAAACTGGTTTATCCTGTCCCTAGCCGCGGCTGATTTATGCTGTGGACTATCCTTCTTTCCTCCGTTGTTTGGAGCCAAGTTCGGTTTTTACACGATTGATCTCACCCACGCTGGCGTCTTTTTCAAAGTCAGCTTCACCTTCTTTTATTGCTCGAACGCCAGTGTCTGCGCAATGACGGTTGATCGTCTCCTTGCAATCACAAAGCCCCTCAGGTATGTCTCTCTGATGACGACAGAAACCATCCGGATTTTGATTCTCGCTGCGTGGATAACTCCACTTCTGCTCTTTGGCTTCCCCGCCATTTTTATGTACAGAGGCAACCCAGGGTACACCATGTTCGTGGAGTTTTCCAGAGTGATAATCTTTCAGATCTCTCCCCTCGTGATGTTTCTCATAGCCACATGTCACCTGCTACACCTTGCCCTGAAATCCCACCGCCAAACGAAAGCCTTGGTCGCGCAGGTTCAGTTCAATCACGCCTCTGGTGAAGCTAACATCCAAGTGCCTTCTCCAAGAACAAACGCCAGAGCTTCTATCGTTCTCATCGTCCTGATCATGACGTTCTTTAACGTCACCTACCTTGGAGGGAATTACCGGTGCATTTGTCTACTCACCGACAGTTGCCCTGTCACTGGCACTCTGATGTATATCATCTACCTTGTCCTGATCGCTAACAGCGCGGTCAATCCAATCTTCTATGCATTTCTCAAGAAGGACATTCGGCGGGAACTTCGTTGCATGTTCTCAAGTTAATTAGGTCATTAAAGGAGCTCAGTAATAGTTTACTAAGACAAACAAAAAAAAA